CCGCAAATTCTGGTAAGTACTGCAAATTTAACAAACTGTCGTTTGGTAATATTTAATACAAAAGATTTTATTTATAAATTATACTATATAGTTTGTAATTTAGGACGTCCACTAAATCGTTCCCGAAAGAAAACGTTGAAATATACTCTCTCTATAGCAATTATTACTTAAATTAATGTATAGAAACTTATATCCTGTAATTTATTAAAATAATGTATAAAGTAGACAATAGAATTTCCGACTCTACTAATGGATATACTGTACTTATAAAGTTCCAACTTCTCAATACTCTCACCCGCATTTAGACGGCCTGATCTATTGTAAAAAATGATCCGTTTCTTCTTATCAAAGGGCTATACTTGCTGTTATTAGTGTATTATAATGGCACCAAGTGTTGTGCTAAACCGAAGTATTCGAAATAAGAAATTACATCAACCATTAAGGTCTATACGAAATTACGCGATTGAACAATAACAACGGCATTTGTTGTGTAAAAAATGCGAAATGCTGCACGAGTAAGATCACACTTAATCATATTTAGATTATCTCAACCACTTCGTAGAGTTAATATTACATCTTAAATACTCTCACTTTATTGGCTTTAACGTATATAACACGAGAAACTATTGTAATTGTGTCAAACTTCATGCTTCGAGTGTTTGCAAATCTCTATGTTTTGAGACAACCTGAACCCAATGATGTCAAAAAATACAGTGAAAAGTTCTATTGCTATGTATTCGTGTGTCTAAGCGTCTGTTTTGTTTAATATTTCATGATTAGTAAAAATAAAGAAACGAAATTTAACATAATAAGTTGTTTATACAAGGCATTAAAGCTGTTAAATTATAGAGGTTAAAAGTTGTGAGAGATGGAAACAGTGTAAGGACATGTGTTGCAACTCGATAAAGATCAGACTTAATGAAGATTTTAATAGTTAGTAATAATTATATTTTTCTGAAAATCCCAAATATACGCTTAAATGTAAGCTTTTTATCTTTTTATATCAATTAAAATTAACTTATTATAATTGTGTATATATCAATTTAAAGTATAAAAGTTACTTCTTAAGAAAATCTCAAAACACACGATGATGGTGCCACAGTCAATTTTGTTTGTGCTAATGTGTAGTACCGCTTACCACACAAGTATTTATGTAAGAAACACGCAATTCGTTGCTGGATGTTTTAATTTCAACAGATAAATATGAAATTCTTTTATTACAGAGAATCGGAAATATCAGTCCAATAGAGAAATGGTCAAAGATAGAAGGTTCTCTGGTGAAAATATACTTCCATAATTTTCGCTTAATCTTTTCTATACTAAATATTTTCTATGTTAAACTTAAAGCCTCTTCTCAGATTCAAATCCCAAGAATAAATTATACTAATTGTTATAGTGAAGTTTATTTAGTATTGGCATCAAATTTTATAATAAATTTTATAATTTTTTTTCTAGAATTCCTAAAGGAAGTATTTAATTTTAATATAAAATATTCTGTTCTTAATACATGGCATTAATTATTTTTCAGACATGAGGAATCAAACGAATATCATACGAATTCCAACATCACTCGTAAGTACCGTTTTAAGTTAACTGAAGCAATTGCTCTCATTCCAATAAAAAACATTGCAAATGAATGAAATTTAAAAAACTTTCTGCCAGTTACGTACAGTAAATAAAGTGGGAAAACATTGAAATATTTTCAAATTTGACCCTTCTATCTTTTTCTAAATTTCGATGAAAATACAAAAAAAAATAAACACACTAAGAATTATTTTTCCTAGTCTTGCCACGATTCGTTAAAAGTATCGATACCTGCAATATACTTTTAGGGTGTATCATTACTTAGAAAGTTTCCATTTTTCTATTAATTATAGCGGCGATTGCCGAGTATAACGACAGTACTTCGAGAATAATAAGTTTATCGTTTTTACTTTCAGTTAGTTGTGATTTTCAAACTTCCGTGCCAAGCACGACATTTCGGCAATGATAAGGAATTTTCGTCATTGATCTATAGAACGTTAAATGCCAGGTAAGTATAACTTCCTGTGCGTTTGACAATTGTTACGTAAAACAAATAACTTTATTTTTGCAACGTGTTTACTTATGTAGCAGTATTTAGTGTTCAGACAAAATTCTGTCACAATATATCGTAGTTTTGAAAACTCAAATTTGTCTTTTATAAAATTTATGGTTTGTTTTGATCGACGTATTTAGAAGTAAATTTTCGATTATGATACACAGGGATGTTTGGAACTAAAGGAGCAGACTTTGGATTTTTGGCAGGAGAAAGAATAAAGGTTGTTCTATTAACATATATCTAGAAATACACTGGTGTTAAGTTAGTTCTATGTATCTGGTTTTGTTTCTCAATATCTGAAACCATCTTTTGTTGCACACAGATCACTTACGAAATGCCTGTTTGTAGCCCACCCACTTCGTGGATCTCGAGTCACCAGAAAAGTATTTTATACACTGAGCGATTCTTCATGTACAACAAACTATGTGGAAACGATTGAATGCTGTCTGCAATGCCGTTCACATATATCCTAAAACGTGTGAAAATGTCTATCACTCTATAATGAGGCATGTGACCACTTTCCTCGAGACGCGTGAAAGACACTTTAAGCATTTGTCCGAGGTACATATGCCATACTTTAGCCCAATATTAGGTGTCGTGTGAAAAGCTTGTGACAACTCGTTGTGCCACCCGTCTCGCACTAGTACATTTCTGGATATATGTCAATACCATCATATTTGGGTTCGTTTTAAAACTAGTTATCTATACCTAATGTTTTATCTATAAAATGGAAGCACCATGTTTAAAAATAACCTCGGGCATTATTTTCCAAATTTTTATGCGATTAGATAAGAAAATGACTAAAATTACATTAGAAAACGCTGATGCCTCTATGAGAAATCAAAGAATTCTTTGATAATTCTCAGTTTGAATCGTATCTTTATCTGTCACTAAAAATTTCACTGTTCGGTACCTGCAAGTCCTGGATTTCCCGGTGTGCAGATTTGTCGCTCTTCTACTGTTCAAGATAAGAACAGGATAGTGGCTGGGGCTGTCAACTGATATTAATGAATCTGAACCGGTGGTCTCCATTTTCCTGTGGAAACCTGTTACAGCGTAGCGTAGGGTGTCTGTAATTAGAACAGAGCTGTTTTTTAATTGCACAATTGTCTCGAGAAACTCTTTTTTTTCCATAAATTTACTTGTTATTATACTTCGTTTAGCTCGTATTAAAAAACATTATTTTTATTGCAGCACCTTCTTCTATCAAGTTTTAAAGATAATGTAGACATTTTGTTTTTTATGGGCATGACTGATAGAAATATCCTAAAACGTTTTATGCCAATACGTAAGTAGAATACACATCGAACATACATTGTCTCACTTACTTCATTGAAAATAGATGCACCGGCAATGACTGACAATATAAAACTTACGAAGTATTTGCGCTTTCTTTCTTTATCACTTCAAAAGCGGCCACGACAGATCAAAGGCTTACGACATCATCTGCAAGGCATTCAGCAAAAGAGCAGTCGATAGACAATCTACTACAGTTAATTCAAAAATTACAACGGTGAAGAATTTTCGTTTCAATATGAACACCATCCAGTCAGAAATTCCACTATTAGTGGCGTTCTCGTGCAAGTAGTGGACGATAACCACGGTTGATTACCAAGAATTAGCATAAGTTGAGTGTTGAAGTTGAGAACTGGATAAATTGACAAAGTTCGATATCAGCACTAACATTAAAGATGACTTTAGACGAGTTGATCAGTCTGTGACAAAAGGTTCTGCCTCACATACCTTACAGCCCAGAGTTGGCAGCAACCGACTACCGTCGAATTCACACCGCTCAGAACATGATTGTAAAAATACAGTTCAATGACATTAACCAACGCTTGAGACTTTCTGCAAAGAAATGTCCCTTTTTATGCTATCCGTATATTTGCAGCAAAGGTGACAAGATGTGATTGATATTTGGAGTAATTACTTAAAGACTGTAAAGTAATCGTTGTTGAGTTAATTGTCAGTAAAGATTTCTCTTATAATGTTTAAATTTCTCTTTTACAATTTGAAAACCACCTTACATTTTGCCACAGTGTATTAAAGTTAATTCAATGGTTAATGCAATGCTCCACTCTCTATACTACTTTAATATTAAAAATAATTATTTATTTTCAGTTGTGTATATGGAAAATTATCTTCGAAAATCCCAAGCAAATTTCGTACAAATCTACGGGATATTGAACTCTTTCAGTTAAAAAATCAGGTATTTATTATTTAATTTCAATTTTCTTACTTCACTCTTCGTTCATACAATTTTAAAGAAACATCTCGTTAATATGTTTTAAGTATTTTCTATAAAATATGATCAACTGTGAATATAATTGTTTCGAACAAATACAATCAATAATTTTCGTTGGCCTTTGTTATTTTCCATTAATTTTTATGAATAATCCACAAGTGTAATAAAAAGTGAGAGTTCGTGGCTTTGTTCTTATGATACAGTGGGATGAAAGTGATAGTGCCATGAGGCATTTAAGCAGCAAAATAGGAAAAACTTGCATTGCATGCGTCTAACGGAAAATTACCACCAAAAACGAACAAAACGGAAGAAAAAAAAAACTATTCAAAGCCGAGCAAATGTATGAATGGTCTTTCTATGCCAGACAATTGTATTCTTTCGTTGCACGCTTTTTCTCAAAAAACACTGCTGCTGAGAAGGGCACTCGCAGAAGCTACATTACTAAACTCAAATTAAGAAATTGAATCAAAACCTCCGATTACAAATTCAATTTGTGCATTTTGTCTAATTTATAACAATATGTGATGCTTATGAGTTTATAAATGCGGTTTTTTTGTATTTATTTTCATTTAATTCGACCCAAAAACGAAAAAAAATACACATATTAAATTTTATCTAGCGATAAATTATTTCAAATAAACTTTTTAAAATCTGGTTTGTGTTTAATTTCAAACGATGGCATCATCATTCATGGCCAGGGTAAGAACAACTCCTTCTATTATTTTCTGCCAATGTAATGGAACTTTATTGTTTATCGTGTTCTCTGTGATCCAAAGAGTTGGAAACATATTGATTTCTGCAAATTTTTTAAAAAATTCACAAAATATCGACTTTGGAAACGAAGTCCCGTGACGTCTCACTAACACCACGTAAGCAATAAAAGGCTACGGATCGTTTTTTTCTCTTTGCCAAGTGCAAGGATACTGCGTGACTTTGCGTAATACGTAATACGTCGATCTATTCCATCAATTATATGTATGAACCATATTTTCTATTTTTTACAGGATGCAGATATTTCGACATCTCCATTCGAAATTCAGTACGAACATTTTTACCATGTGGATTATGCCGTACCTCATATAATAATGCCATTAGTTTTTATAATAAAAGTAAAAAAACAGGAAGTCAACTGGCAAACAATTGTAAATGTTCTTTCTTTAGAGGTGAGTTCGCAGTTTTTCATCATAATTTGCATTCGTTAATTATAAAATTACAACTTTTAATCATTACAAAGTTTGTTGATGATATAACAGTTTTCTTTTACAAAAATTTATCACACAGGTGTGGCTGGCTCTATTGGGTTGTATTGTTTTGCTTGGATTATATCTTCGTTGCGTCATTAAAGACGAAGACGACAAACCTTTGCCTATAGGCAATTTATACTGGTCTCTCATCGTCACTTTGTGTAACCAAGGTAAGTCGACAGAGTTTATGAGAATTATGTTAAATTACATGGCATAAATGACGTTTTTATTAGTAGTGCCTAATTACCAGTTCTACCTCATGTTCTGACGAATGAGCAAACATTGATAAATACAGTGGTACCTCAGGTTACGAACGCCCCAGCATACGAAATTTTCAGGATACGACATGAAATTCGAACATATTTTTGCTCCACGATACGAACAAAAACTCACCATACGACGTTACATTAGTTCGCATTTTTCATTTGTTTTTCTTACTACAGTTATTTTTTTTAATGTATTACTTGGCTTTAATTTGAGTATGTTTTTCGCGTTGGAACGAATTATTTGGTTTTACATATAATCGTATGGGAAAAGATGATCCACCTTACGACATTTTCATGATACGATCTCAGTTTCGGAACGGATTAATTTCGTATCCTGAGGTACCACTGTAGTAAAAACAAGAAAAAATTGCCTGTTATTTATAGTAAATTGTCTATTTTATAAGTAGAAAGTGCAATTTTGTAAAATCGCTCCATTGGCTTGGTCTGATTCGGTACTGTCATGCCAATCTTCGAAAGACATGCCAAATCTCAAACATGATAAATAGCAAAGTACTGATAATAGAAGATTAATCTTTTGATTCTGATGAAACCGTGTTGTGAATTTACTTTGCTAAAGCAAAGAAGATTAATCTATTTTTGGTTAACAATTAATTATGATAACATTATCTTAGTTTTTTTAAATGAATTCTAAATGAAAGGATTTCCAAGGTTTTCTTCCAGACAAATTTAATAAACACCAGTAACGAGTTGCTCAACTTGACCAGCAACATGTAAAATTTTGCTGGAGCAATCTGCTATCACGTTTGACTAAAAAAAAACTATTTTTATTGTTAGCTATCATAAAATAGCCAATAGCTGAATTTTAAGGATTGGGACAAATGTTATAAAAACAAAATTGTAAATGCTGATAAAGTTGGCATTATATTTGAACGTACTAGAGATACACACGACTCTTATTATCTCCTTTCCGAAAATTTTTAGTAATTTTCAACAGAAAGCACAGGAGTTATTAAGCTTCAATGAGAGTGGAAAAAATCGTGCTGCATATACATTCGTAGTAATATGTTTTTCATATGAAAATTGCACTTTTTCTTAAAAACGGACGATACTCTTTAAACGAAAAGATTGAAATTTTGTTATCCTTTTACAAATTTTTGCTAGTTTTAAATTTTGTTCAAATACGAAACAACGGGGTGGTTCCCAGTATATACATATTACTTCCATTGTTTTAGGAGTCAACGTACATGCCATAAATCGATTCACGTCCAGATTAACTTTCGGATTGTGGTTGCTATCGATTAGTGTTCTGTTATGGGGATATGGCAACGTGCTAGAATCGTCGCTGGCCGTGCGGGAAAACAAACCCATACCAAGGACATTCGAACAACTTGCATCTGCTCTTGAAAGAAGAGAGTATTCCTGCTTCTCGAATCTTCAAGAGGATGAAATAGAAATCCTGAATGTAAGTACAAAATTGCTTTAGATTACGACCCGAATCGGTAAGTCGACATTATCGGTTAGAAGTTTCAACATATAAAAACACGAAATCATTCTTATGGGAACACTAGAAGTGGTAAATCAGAGAAGAAGATGAAAAAACTAAATCTGTTTTCTAGAAAATTTGTACAAAAAAAAAATTTGTATTCATCGAAACGACAATAGTACTTATTCAAAACACTAGTTTTGAGCAGTATTACAAAAAGGCTATCTGCAACTATACTACAGCTTTGCAACTATATTGTATACTAGCAGACCCCGCCACGCCTTGTTGTGGCTCAAAATGTATCTATTATAAATGTATAACACTTCTCCCGTGGGGGAAAATTTTTCGAAAAATTTTTTCTTAGTGTACATTGTGTTGACGTACCCTATTAAAACGCAATCAAAAGCGCAAAAACCCGCATCTAAAATAGTATAATAGAAGCCAAGTTTTTCACAGTAAGCCTTAATC